TGTACATGTTCATGCATGTGTATGTAGAGTCAGAGGTTGACATGGATTTTTTTTTTCTGAATCCATCTCTGTAGTGATATTTTGTTTGTGATCTAACAAATAAAGCTTGCCTGAAGATCAGAGTGCAGAACTAAGCTACTGGTTAGCATAGAGGCTGGTGACACCTTTAATTCCAGCACTTGGGATGCAGAGGCAGACAGATCTCTGAATTCAAGGCCAGCTTGGGCTACACATGATTGATTCTGTCTACTGTCTAAGAGAGAAATAGAGATCACACAAAGGTGCCCCCAGCCCTTGAGATCACACACCTTTAATCCCAGCACTAGGTAGGGGGATATGGCTGGACAGAGAGAGGAATATAAGGCGGGAGGAGACAGGAGCTCAGATGCAGTCTGAGGATTCACAGAGATGTATGCAGTCTGAAGTTTTGAAGAGACAGCAGCAGTAGAGATGAGCTAGGATTCATAGAGACAGGGTCACCCCCTCTGGTCCAGGTGTTGGTAGAGGTAAGAACTCTCTAGTGGTTGACCGCTCTGCTTCTCCGATCTTTCAACATTAACCCCTGTATCTGACTCTGGGTTTTATATTATTAAGAACAAATAGAATTCATGTTACCCATCTCTATCATAGTTGTGAGACATGGTCTCACCCTGAATCTCGAGCTCCACGGATCCTCCTGTCTCTGCCTCCCCAGGGCTGGGATCACAGCTTGTGTAGACACGCCTGGCTGTGACATGGTGCCGGGGACCCAGCCGGGGTTATTTTTCTTGCCTGGAAAGCACTTTACCAATGAGCCATAATAAGTAATGGTTTTTCTTTTCTCTTTCTTCTTTCTTTTCTTTCTTTCTTTCTTTCTTTCTTTTTTCTTTTTGTTTTATGAGTGGTTTTTTTTTTTTGGTTGTTGTTTTTGAGACAGGGTTTCTTTGTGTAACAGTCTATCCTGGAACTCAATTTGTAGACCAGGCTGGCCCTTGAACTCACGTTACCTCTACCTCCTAAATACTGGGATTAAAGCCATGTGCCACCACTGCCTGGCCTATATTTTTTTAAGCAGATTTTGGGCTGGGTGTATAGGTAAGTATAGTACATAAGGCTCTGTGTTCAGTCTCTACTGTAGCAAATCAAGTGATAAAGCGTGGACCTTAAGATTTTTTATTTTTATTTTATTTTATTTTATTTTATTTTATTTTATTTTATTTTATTTTTTAGCTATTTTAGGCTCACAGCACAATGGAACAGAAAGCATTGAACGCGTCCATTAAGCCCCTGCCTTCATATCTAGGATCCCTGTCTCCTCAGCGTCCTCCAAGCCACACCCCCTCAGCCACGCCCACTATTAGCATCCGTGTCAGTGTGGTTTGGGATCTTTCAAAGTCACTACTTAGTTGCCAAGAAAGGTCTTGAATTTCTGATCTTCCGTCCTCCAGGTCCAGTGCTGGGATTACAGAGGGGTGCTGCCATGTCAGGTTGTGGAGGGGAACCTGCCCTCCCACTGCCATGCAGTGCTCGATGATTGCAAGGCGTCGTGAGCACTGTCTGCAGGCCCTCTAGCAACTGAACTCCAACCCCAGCCCCCGCTGCATGGGTTCTGTTTCTCTGGTTACCAGAAATGTTGACTGTGTTTACTTATTTTAAGCACCTCTTTTGTGAATTCCTTTCCATTTTCATTATTAAGGGTTTGAAAACCAAAGCGAAGCCAGAGTTTCTTAGCGTCTAATTGCAGTGCGACCCTAGGAGAGCCCTGTGTCTCTTTTGCATCCACCTTCAGGCTCATTCCTTAGCTTTGTCCTTCTGGGGACAGGACCTGGGACTCTGCATGTGGAAGGGGCCTTCTGGGTGACAAGTATGTACCCCGAAGGCATTTGAGCATCATGGCCTTGTGTCTTATTATTCTCAACAAAAGTTTGAAGAAGCCCAAACAGAAAGCATGAGTATTTTTCTCTCTTCACTGCTTCTAATAGGCGTCACTTTCCATTGAGCCCACAGAGAGAGAGAGAGAGAGAGAGAGAGAGAGAGAGAGAGAGAGAGAGAGAGAGAGAGAGAGAGCGCGCTCCACCAGTGCCTTTCATTAGTGGGAGAGTGCCAGAGACGAATTAGTCAGATCTGAAGTCTCCTTGCAGGAGTGTGCTCAGATGAGTAACATTTTGTCATTCATAGGTGATTGTAGCTGGTTCACATTTTTTTTTCATAGAGCAGGTTCATTCATTAAAAATTAAGAACCTTAGGAAATAATGGGTCTGGCGATTGCAAATTCCATTTTCAGTGCCAATGCAAATTACACTCCATTGTTACCAAACTGAACAAAGCCAGGGAAATACGCCCCTATATTGGCACAGGAGGCAAGGGACACTGGCCACTCCATGCCTGCCTCCTCGCTAGCCCCAGTCTCTGTGCCACCTTCTTGAGCACCTTGAGAACCTGGATGGCACAGACAAGAGGGCCTGGCAGTGGTAGCGAATCTGGCAAAGTCACAGAGTGAAGCCTTAAGTGTTGAGGAGGAGCCAGGCTCACTGCCTCCCTCTACGTGACTGAGCCAGTCTCTTACCCTGTGAAGGAAGTGAGGAGACACTGTAGAGGCAGCTCCAGAGCAGAGACCAGCTTCACCTCTCAGCCTTTGGCTCGGACCTGGGCACTGGTCCCTCACTCGCTGTACCTCCAGCCCACTGATGCTTCCGTTATGTTCAGGAACTCCCACCAAGTACTCCAATGAGAAAGAAAGGCTGCGTCTCATCCAAAGGCCTAGTATCCAGAGGAGGAAAGTCATGTCTTCCAACAGAGGGAACCCGTGGGCCAGGAATAAAAGCAATTCACATATTCAGGACCCGAGAGTGCAGTGTAAAACCTCCGCCTTGAACTTAGGAGTTTAGTGAATCCCGGGAAAAAGTGGAAGGAGCCGCAGAGAGCTGACAGTTAAATTCAGAATGGAACTGTCAAGAAGGGCAAATTTGGATGCAGCCAAGTGCCAAAGCAGGAATGGCAGGGAAGAGAGGAAACATTAGTTACCCAGGCTTTATGCATGAGTTGAAAGAAAGCTCCTGGTTAAAGTGGTTTTTTTTTTTTTTTTTTTTTTTTTTTTTTTTTTTTTTTTTAAAGCAGAGTGGGGTTGTAGATGCTGAAAAGATGGCTCTGGGGTCCCTCTTCATTCAGTTCCCACACCTGCCTCAGTCTGACCATGGCCACCTATAACTCCAGTTCCAGAGCCCTGGAGACCCGAGTCTGGATTTCATGGTGTTGCGCAATGCTTGATCGTGTAAAGATGTGCTGCATTTGTCTAAGTGTGTAAGACGTGTTGCTGTTCACCTTACCTTACCTATAGCACCTGGTTGATCTAATAAAAAGCTGAATGCCTACTAGTGAGGGAGGAGATATAGGCGGGATTTCTAGACAGGAAGGGAAAGGAGGAGGAGGGGGAGGAATTTAGACTCAGAGAAGAAAGAAAAAGAGACGACAGGGAGACACAGAGAAGAAAGAAAAAGAGACGACAGGGAGACACCAGGGTCCAGACAGACAGACTCAGAGTAAGCAGGGAAGTAGGACATACAGAATGAAGGAAAGGTAAAAAAATCCCTGAGGCAAGACATAGATGAATAGAAACAGGTTAAATTAAGTTAACAGAGCTGGTGGGACAAGCCTAAGCTAAGCCTGAACATTCATGATTAATAATAAATCTCTGTGTCTTTATTTGGGAGCTGGTTGGTGGCCCAAATAAATTCCAGCTACACATGGGCACCCACACACGTGAGGCATAGGCACCCACACACATACATAAATCAAAATCCAACAGCTCAGTCATGTGCCACAAAGCAAAACTTAGTATAGTAAAAATATGAAATGTCCTACAGACTATCATAAGCCAGTACAGTGAGACTTAAGTTGTTAAGACAGAGCCAGTGAGACAGATGAGCAGGAGAAGGCACTTGCCACAGTCCTAAAGACTTGAATTTGATCCCCAGCACCCATGTGGTAGACAGAGAATCGGCTCCTAAAAGTTGTATCCTGACCACACATCTCACTCACCACCGAATAAAATGTAATTTAAAATTGTGAATAAACAAAAACAACCCCCCCCAAAATCTTAAAATAAACACGATTTTCATTGTATTTTCAGTTTTAGATTTTAGGACAGAATCTGGTGATGTCTCCTTGGCTAGCCTCAAATTCTGAATCCTCCTGCCTTAGCCTCCTGAGAGTTTGGATTACACACCTGTGCTACCAGGCCAGCCCTCTAGTGCTAAGCAATCCTTAGATACTCAGACATCCTAAAATCAAAGAGGAATTCAAAGCGGAAATTAAAACAATGTAAAACAAAACAACAGGGGCTGTGGATGGTGACATATGCCTGTAGTTCCTGTACTGCGGAGGCTGGGGCAGGAGGAGGGCAAATTGGAGGCCAGTGAGATGCTGTCTCAAAAGACAAATAAGTCTACACTCAGCTTAAGGCATAGCAGATATTGTACTGAAAATAAAATTTCTTCTGTACTAAGGAAAAATAATAAACAAATCAAAGAGCATAGTTTTACTGGCGAATTAGAGTACTCTTAGTTGGGAGTTAAACCTCTTTCTATGCCTCCTGGTTTTCCACGGTCTGCTGTGTACACTACTAAAAAGAGAACCTTCTGCCAGCAGATCACTGTGAGTTCAAGGGCAGCCTGCGTCTACATAGCAAGTTCCAGACTAGCCAGGGCTAGCAGTGAGAACATTAGTTTTTTTTTTCTTTTGTTTTTCGAGACAGGGTTTCTCTGTGGCTTTGGAGCCTGTCCTGGAACTAGCTCTGTAGACCAGGCTTGTCTCGAACTCAGAGATCCGCCTGCCTCTGCCTCCGAGAGCTGGTATTAAAGGCGTGTGCCACCATCGCCCGGCTGAATCTTAGTTTTAAACAAACAAAAAAACTTCCTTATGAAACAATGGGTTGCACACTCACGTACTTTCCCGAATTATGAAATGTTCCGAGGACAGCTGTGAATTTGCCAGTGACCCCGAGTGACCTTTATGTTGCCCAGGTTCTCCAGGAGCAGATCCGTGCCAGGGACAACATCAGCTATGGAACTAATTCTGCCTTAAAGACGCTGGAGATGCGCCAGCTCTCTGGCTTGGGAGATCTTCGAGGAAGAGTTGCGAGGTAGGTGTACCAGTTGCTGCCCTCAAAGTGCCCCATGGAAGCGTCTTGAGAATGTAAGGGCTGTTTCGGCTCACAGTTCGAGGCCATCATGGGGACCATGTCGGCGGGAGCATGAGGTGACTGTTCTCACAGCGTCCACAGTCAAGAAAGAAGCTGAAGGAGATGGCTGGTGTACTATGCCTCATTGTTTTCCTTTTTATTCAATCTGGGACCCCAGCCCCTCCCTGAGAAGGTTCCGCCCACACTCCTGATAGGTCTTTTCTCTTCAGTCGGTCCTCTCTGGAAACGCCCTTACAGCCAGGCCCAGAGGTGTGTCTCCTAGGTGATTCACAGCAGGTGTTCAAATGTTGGAGACTTTACTCTTTAAGAACAGTTTTTCCTTGGCTCTGAGATGGCCAGGGAGTAAAGAGCTTGCTGTTGATGTTTGTTGGCCTGAGTTCCATACCAGCATCCTCGTGAAGGCGAAGGGTGGAAGGAAGGCATCAGCTCCACAGAGGTCTCCTCTTCTCTACACACACACACACACACACACACACACACACACACACACACACACACACACACACTTCCTGAAGCTGGCCAGGTCTTCCTGGGAGGAAATGATCAGAGAGCGCCCTCTGCTGGCTGATGTCATTTGGTCATTGCCATTTGTTCATGTATGGTCATTGAATCAAATAATACATGCCTTCTAAAATGTTCATCTTTGGTATAATTATTTTTGTTTTATTTCCTGAAAGTATTGGATTTCATAGGCTGGAAAATTTAAGAAGTGTGTTTTTCTGTCAGCGTGGAAAGTGATTTTCTCTTTACTTGGGTGTGTTCCATGGACCCAGAGCCTTAGGATTCCCTGGAATTTTTAAAAATGTAATTTATTGACAGTTGCACTCACATATTTGCCTGTGTGCATATGCAAAGTATGTGTACCGTGGCACACGTGTGGAGATTAGAGGATAATTGCAGAAGCCGATGCTCTCCTTCCACCACACGTGTCCCAGGGAGCCCAAGTCTTAGGCTCGGCAGCACGTGCTTTTGCCCGTTGAACCATTTTCCTTGGCTCTTCCCTGGGACCTTGCTAGCAATGTCCGCAATTGCCACAGCTCACCGCTGCTGAATTAGAGCTTGTTTCTGATGAGATCCCTGGCTTCCGGGTGCACTGATGTTTGAGAATTGCTGCAAGAGGCCTGTCCTCTGGATTATGTTTAGCTGGCTGGGATGAAGTTGTCAGACTATGTGTGTGCCTCTTCTGCCCTCTGCTGCTACTTAGAGCCAAGTACAAGTATGTAGCTAATAATGGGGACTTGGAGCAAAGAAGGATTTCCAGCCAGCTTGGGGTGACAATGAGCACAGGTGACCGCGTGCACAGGACCAGGCTAAGGACAGGGACCCACAGAGTCCAGGGCATCTTTAGAGCAGAAAGAGCCATATTAGGGTGTATTTGTGCAGAAACCTAGTGCCTTGTATGTTGGGCAAGGTATATATATGTGCTGGCAGCTGTTGGCTAAAGGTCAGGTAACGGTTGGAGGAGGGTTGTGAGGACAGGACGACGGAGGCAGTGACCACTCTGCAGTGGCTCTTTGTTACCGTTCTTTCTGTTTTATCTTTAATGTGCACCTGTATGCCTGAGTGTATTTATGCACCATGTGCATGCAGGGGCCCGTGGTCGTGAGAAGACATCAGCTCCTCTGGAACTGAAGGTACAGGAGGTTGTAAGCCACAGTGTGAGTGCCGGGGAGGGAACCCAGCTTCTCTACAAGAGCAGCGAGCACTCTTAACCGCCCAGCCACCTCTCTAGCCCCTTCTTTTTCTTTACTGGCAGTTGAAATGGGGTCTTGTTCTGTGGCTCTGACTGGCTTTGCATCCTGTCCTGCCTCTGTCTCCTGAGTGCTGGGATTGCAGGTGTGTAGCACCATCCCTGGCCCGTCAGTCATTTGCTGTTCTCAGCAGGATGGACCCCAGTCTAGTGTCTGCAGTCTGATTCTTGGTGGTGGGCACCCCTATTGCCTCACCTCTCCCTACCCTTGTCTTGCACCGTCAGCCACGCCCCATCCTTTGTCAATCTCTAAAGAAGCCCGTTCTACCTCTGGGCCTTGGCACGTGCTGTTCTCACGCTGAGTACCTCTCCTCTTCCTCTTCTCCTCGTCCACCTTCGAAGAGTAGTGCAAATGTCTTCTCTGGAGTCTTTCCTGACACCCCCACTCCGCAGAGCGCCCCCTCCACTTAAGCTCGATCCCGTCACTCTGTTGTCTTCCTTACTGTCTTAGAGAGGGGCTCTGAGTCATTCGCTTCTGGAGTCAAGTGCCTGGAGCCTGTTGAAAACAATAAGTGCTCAATAAATGCATGTTGGGCAAATGATTGAGCTAGAAAAATTGCCAGGGTAGGACTGAAAAGATCTCGAGTTCTTGTCTGTGGAGTCCTTGTTTGGCTTTTAAAAGACCCCAAACTCAGAGAATAACAGGGCCTTGGAAAGGCTTGAGAGCCACAAGGTGGAGAGGTGTGTGTGTGTGTGTGTGTGTGTGTGTGTGTGTGATGATTAGATTGTTTATACAGTGTAGCCTGACAGTCAGATAGTGGTAGTCTCCATGCAGGAAGGGCTGAGCACCTGGTACCTCTTAACCTGAGAGCCTGGGTGCCTCAGGAGTCTCACCCCAGTGCTGAGGGCCTGGAGGATTCCAGGAGAGCCACTGGTCTTCTGTCCATGTTGGAAACCTGAAAAGCCTGAGTGTGATGTCAGTGGGAGAGGAAGCAGCAGCAGCAGCAGCAGCAGCAGCAGCAGCAAGAGGGCAGATGACCTTGTTAGTAAGCCACAAAGGCAAGAAGGCAAAAAGCACAGCTTCGCCTCAGCCCTCCTTTTTGGGGGGGGCTGCCTCAGGAAGGTGCCCCACTCTTGTGGGGGAGGGGGTCCTTCTCACTTCTGATTGTCTGATCGGTGTGTCCAGTGGCTGGATCCAGTCAAGATGGTAACTAAGTTAACCATGACACCACTGTGGGTGCAGGTGGAGACTGAGGGCACACGTGACTGAGGGAGCGTGCCACAAAAGGCGGCTCTCCGCACCTCAGCCAACCGTGGAAACTGACGTCATCTTTCTGACGTTGTACCTAGACATAGAATTGTCGGGGAAATACCTTCAGGAATCTTCCGTTCTGCTTCAGCGTTTCATCAGCTTCTCCACCCAGCTTGCTCCTCCCCGTTAACAAACATCTCGGTTCCAAGCCCACCCGAAGGGTTTGTTAGAAGCACCAGATATTTTAGGTTTGTTTGGTGGCTATATCCGTCTTCCTCTCGGAAGGCTAATGAGACCTTGCTGAGATGAATTCAAGTGAGATAAAAGCTCTTTGGCAAGATTTCGCCTTTCGTGCGTTGATTACATCATTGTATTGCAGAAGCCTAGCTTTGAAAGTGGCATTGCTAAATGACTAGGCTGGCCTGTCATTTCCTATTTAAATGTGTAGTTTTTATGTATCTATTAGTAATTGAGTTAACAGCAAACAGGTCCGCGCTTCTGGCTCGTCGATCTAGGTTAGGCAGGTTCTCCTTGAAGGGGGGGGACACTCGTCCTGCTTAGCACAGTGCATCTCACATAGGATGTGGCCAGAGACTTTTCCATTAGTTTTTGAAGAAAATCTCACTTTTAGCTTCCCGATTCCTATTGGAATGTTTGGTCCTGTGTTTGGCACGTTGTCTGTATTTCCCCAAAACTTGGTGGGCACTTCCTCTTTCTTCTCTGAGAGGCTGTGGGGTGTGTCTAGAGGCAGAGTGATAGAGGAAACAGCCCTGTGCCAAGGCATAAGCTCCCCAAACCTGCGAATTGGAAATCAGAGTGGGAAATACGGGGACACACGGCACACTCCACCCCCTCCTCTTGCTCTCACTTTTTCCCTCTCTTCTTCCTCCCTCCCTTCCTCTGTCTCTCTATTGTTCTTTATTTTTGATATATAATTTTATATTTTAGTCTTTATTTTATTATATATATATAATTTTCTGATAATTTTATTTATAGAGTTTATGATATAATTTACACATAAGCAACAATGGGGCAGAACAGCTGGCGAGGTTTACTGCTCTTTCAAAGGACCCAAGTTCATGTCCCAGGATCCATGTCAAGTGGCTCACAACTGCCTGTAACTCCAGCTCCAGGGTACCTGATGCCTTCTTCCGAACTCTGCAGGAACTATACTCACGTGGGCACACACACGCACGCATGCACACACATACAGAGTTAAAAATAAAGCTTTAAAGCATGCAGTTCCGTGGGCTTTGGAGTATTCCCTGTGCAGCCATCACAATTAATCCTGGAACATTTGAACAATTCAGTAAGAAATCCCACGACGTTTGCAGTCTCTCCCCATCCGCTCCCTCAACCCCTATCCATGGCAACCAGAAAATTCTTTCTGTCTCTAGGGTTTGCCTCTCTGGATGTTCCCTCTAAGTGGTCTCATCCCTAACACACGGCTCTTTAAGAGCAGCTCCTTACACTTCGCACAGTGTTTTCGGGGGTCAGCTGTGAAGGTGTGTGGGTATATCATTACTTTCTGTGGCTAAGAGACACCACGTTTTGTTTCTTTATAAACTGAGTGGGCGTGCTGTTTCTACTTTTTGTCTATTATAAATAATGTGGCTGATAATATTGTTTATGGAGGCCTTGTATGTGTACATTTTTTAAAGATTTATTTATTTTTACTTTTTGTATGTATATGAGTATTTTGCTCGCATACATGTATGTGTATCATGTGTGTACAGTGCCCATAGAGACCAGAAAAGGGTGTCAGGTCTCCTGGAGCTGGGGTATACAGCCCTATGTGGGTGCTGGGAACCGAACTCCAGTTCTCTGGAAGTGTTCCTGACCACTGATCCATCTCCAGCCCCGAGGCAGCCTTTCACACGTAGTGCGAGGTAGGGCTCCAGCTTCATTCTTTTGCGTGATTAGTTATCGTTCAACATCATTAGTCAGAAGTCCATTCTATCCCTCACCAGGTTGTCTTGGCACCAGACTTGGAAATCACTGGGGGTAGGGACACTTGAGTTCCTTCCTCCTCCTTCCCTTCCCCTGCCCACTTCCCTCTGTCATTGTGTGTGCACCAGAGGGGAAGCTCAGGCTTTAATCTTCTGAGCCGATCCTTTGCTTTTGTTTTTGCTTTTAAACTTTGTGGGGGAGAGAGAGAGAGAGAGAGAGACAGAGAGAGAGAGAGAGAGAGAGAGAGAGAGAGAGAGAGAGAGAGAGAGAGAGAGAGAGAGAGAGAGAGAGAGGAATCAGTTCTCTCCTTCCACTCTGTGCGTTCTGCAGATTGCACTCAGATTCTCAGACTTGCACAGTAAGCATTTTACCCATGGATCCCTCCTGCTGGCCCCAAACTCTGTGTGTGTGTGTGTGTGTGTGTGTGTGCGCGCACAAGTGTATTTTTGGGTACATAGACATGCACACACCATAGTGCCAATGTGGAAGGAAGTCAGAGAACAACTCTTGGGGGTTGGTTCTCTTCTGCCAGTTTGTGGGATTGAATTCAGGTTCTTGTGTCTGGACACACATCCTTCTTTCCTCTGAGTCATCTCACCAGCCACTTTCGACAAAACACCAGGATCCCTTGCTGGCCTTGGCTTACCAAGTAGGTTCGATTGGCAGAGCCCAAGAGGTCCACCCGTCTCTGCCTCCCCACTGCTGTGCTCACAAGTGCACACTGTCTCACCTGGTATCTGTTGAGGCCCGAGTATTGGATCTCCTGGAGCTGGAGTTGTAGACTGGGGTGAGCTTCCTGACATGGATGTTGGGCACTGAGCCCGGGACTTCTGCAGGAGCAGTCTGCACGCTTAACCACAGAGCCGTCTCTCCAGCCCCCACCTGGCATTCTGAGGATCAGGCTGTTCCTCGTGCTTTACTGTCTGAGCCTTCTCCACAGCCCAGGAGCACAGTTTCTGAGGAGGCCTTGCATCTCCCAGTGCACGTTATAGGATGAACTAGCAGGGCAGCTACTTCGTGTGCATTTAGACTTTAATGGGTGTGCGTTGTTTGCCTGGATAGGTGCGACGCCAGCATAGCCAGACTCTCGGCAGAGCATAAGACGACCTACGAGGGCCTCCAGCACTTGAACAAGGAGCAGCAAGCGGCCAAGCTGATCCTGGAAACAAAAATCAAAGACGCAGAAGGACAGGTACGGCTGGGACAGAAGAAGAGTGAAGAAGCAGGGAGTTTGTTCTCTGCTAAGAACAGGGTGCTGCTTGGTTGTAGCCAGAGCAGCCAGCCCAAGTCCCCAGTGTGGGTTTATGCAGATCATCGGCTTTTTCTGTCTTTCTTCCCTCTGTCTTGCTGGCGTGGCCCTTCATGAATCTGGCAGCCAGATCGTGGAGAGATTTTGGTACAGTGCCAATTTAAAGTTTTTTTCCCCCTTATTCATAAAACAACTCATATACCCCAGACATTCTAAACGATATCCCCCAGTCTGCCTCTTGCACAGGTGAGTGACCCAGCGTAGTGTTGCAAGCTGTTTATCCCAGCATCTGATTTGGGAAATATGTTCTTTACTGATTTTCTTTACATGCAATGGGACTCATTGTGTGTGCAGACTGATCACGTGGTCTCAGTTAGGCCAAAGCTGGAGAGTGAGCTGGCAGGGGAATCTTAGGGTGTTTTACCTTGAAATTTATAATTTCCTTCACAAGGCAAAACTCTCAGCATTTCACCAGTTTGTGGTGTGTGTGTGTGTGTGTGTGTGTGTGTGTGTGTGTGTGTGTACATGAGTGCAGGTGCCCCCAGAGGTCAGAGAAAAACAGAGGCATCTGGGTAATTTACTAGATAAAAAATACTTACCCCTTCACCTCTCTTCAGCAAGGAACCAAAGCTACTTATGTTAAAAAACAGAAAACAAAGAAAGCCAAGGGTATTATAAGACTTTGAAAGGCAGGCAGGCCTTTTGTTGTGGTGATGGTTGTTTTGTTTTGTTTTTTTCTTTTAAGATGAACGGGGCTTGCTTTACAGCACAGGCCTACAACCCCAGATAGTATGGGGGCTGAGGTAGAAGAATCCCACAATCAAGTCATGGATGAATTAAAGAATGAGCTAGACCAACCTGAGCAATCTAGGTATCTCAAAATAAAAAGTAGAGACTGATGGCTCAGTGGGTCTAGGTCCTCGCCACCAAACCTGATGGCTGGAACCCAAGCTGTGGAACCCACGTAATGGAAGGACAGAGCTGACTCCTGTACGCTGTCCTCTGACCGCCACACATGAGTTATGGCGTGTACACATCTACATGCATACACACAAAAGAAATGAACATTAAAGAAGTTTAAAGACAAGGCTAAGACTGAGTGTTTTCCCAGTGTTTACAAAGCCTGAGGTTCAGTTCCTAGTACCAGGGTGGGGAAGGTGGGGGTGAGTGGGGGATGGGTAGGATGGAGGTGGGTGGGTGAGAACAAGATTATTACACAAGAAGAAATGCTTTCTGGTGTCTGCAGTGAGTACCACACAGAGATCCACCCAAAGAGGCATTGTTGTTAGTTGTTGTTGTTATCGATCCAGATCTTACAAATATTATAACTCTTTAAATAAGGAGTGTTGAACAACATTTAACATTTGGAAAATGTGATCATTTCATACAGGGCTAGTTTAACATTAAATTGTGCTGTAAACAAAGCCCAAATAAACACCAAGACCACAAGTAGGTAATGGAGAAAGGAGTAGAGGAATCTAGCTCACACAGTCTGTTCTCCGGGCTTCAGTCAACAAGGAGGTCCACCTGGAACCTTGATGCAGTTGTAAGCCATAAAAATCACACCCTCCATGACTGGCAGCCATGGTGCTGGTGGAATTCCAAGGTAACGATGGCGGCACATGACTGCTGGTAGAGGTGCCAGCCCTGGGCAGAGCTGTGCCCATTGGAGAGCTGTGGAGTTTAGCACTCATTGCATGGTGAATATTTTGGTAGTGCCCCCTGTCTTGAGTTTCGCTGGGTGTGTATGTGACTAGGTAGATGGTGTCATAGTTAAAGTGTCCTCGGGAGATAGTGTCATAGTTAAAGTGCCCATGAGCACAAGCCAAAGCACCTGTGTTTGGATTTGCAGCACCCACCTAAAAGCTAGACACTGTGGGGGCTAGAGAGATGGCTCAGCAGTTAAGTGCCCTTGTTCTTCCAGAGAACCTGAGCTCCCAATACCCACATAAGACCTCACAATCGTAACTCCAGTCCTAGGGAATCTGACACACTCTTCTGACTTCCTCAGGCACAAGACATACATTTGGAGTACATCCATTCAGGCAAACACTCACACACATAAAATAATCTTTTAAAAACACCTGGCCACTGTGGTACACCCAGAACAGGTGATTCCTAGAACTTACTGCACCAAAAGATAAAGTGGAGAATGATTGAGAAAGACAACTCCTGTTGACCCCTGGCCTCCAGGTGTACATGTTTACACACACACACACACACACACACACACACACATACACACATGGAAAGAGGAGGTGAAATGGACTTAGAAAAGTGACTTTTAATGCCATTGGCCAGCATAGAGCATATGGCATGTCTTCTGAAATGGTCCCTGAAGGCACGATGTGAGATCTTTATAACCCAATCTTCTTTTCCAGATTTCTCAGCTTTTGAGCAGAGTGGACTTGTCCATCTCAGAACAGAGTACCAAACTGAAGATGTCCCACAGAGACAGCAACCACCAGCTTCAGCTCCTGGATACTAAGTACGTCATCAGCTTGTAAAAGGGTTTTTCTCAAGTTCTTTCTGAGTTCATGAAATTCACCTTTTTCTCCCTCTTGCTTTGATTTTAAAATATAATGTTTAAATTTTGCCTGTCTTAAAGATTTATTTTTATTTATGTCTGTGTGGATATGAGCACGTGAGTTCAGTGCCTACAGAGGCCACAAGAAGGCACTGCATCCCCTGGAGCTGGAGGTGCAGGGGGTTGTGAGCAGCCATATATGGGTGCTGGGAACTGAACTCCCATCCTCAGGAAGAACAGCAGGCACTCTTAACTGCTGAGCCATCTCTCCTGCCCACCTCTTGGTTTTTATTTATCACACAGAGTGAAAACAATAATGAAAGCTAAAAGAAAAGGTTTCCATATGGCATATTGTCATTTTTCCTTCATAATCACTGCTCCTAGCAGTTGGATGATGGTCCATCTCTTCATTCAATGTGTATTTGGATTATTTGTTATGTTTTGGTGTATATATGTGGTATATACATGTGTGTATATTGTGGGAGGTGAGACAAATGGGTGCCTGAGTGTGTGGAGGTAAGGGTCAGCATCGGGCATCTTCCTCTATTTTGCTCCACCTTCCTTTTTGGAGGCAAAGTCTCTCACTGATTCTGCCAGATTAACCGGCCAGCGAGACTCTTTTCCCATCTCCCCATTGCTGGCACTAGAGAAGCAAGCCATCATGTCTGGCTTTTTACATCTATTCTAGGCATCCAAACTCTGGCCCTCTTGTTGGTGCAGTGAGCACTTTACCCATGAGTCATCTTCCCTCCCCTAGTATGTGTTCACTGAGCACTTCCCTAGAGGCCATGGGTCTAATAATGAAGAAGAAGACAAAACAAAACAGACCTTGTTCTTAATCCTGTAGGGTCTACAGTTTAGGGAGCTGATGGCCAGGTGTCAGATAAGGGCTTGACCAGGGTGCTCTGTGTCATTATTAATGTGCTTCAGGGGGTAGGTATGTGGTTATGTTAGGTTAAATAATGATTCCCCCAATTTCTCCATGTGAAGATTCTTGTTAGCTTTTAGGGAAAGGAACTTGATAGTGTGACCAAGTATCTTCATCTGGGATTGTAGTTTAGGAGTAAAGTGCTTGCCTAGCATGAGTGAGGCCATAGGTTCAATCCCCAGTATTAGAAAAACATGCCTTAAAGAAAATCTGTGTGTGTCGTCACACACATGTGCATACCATGGTATAGGTGTTGAGGTCAGACTATAACATGGGGTGTTAGTTCTCATCTCCCACTTTGTTTGAGAGAGGGTCTGTGGTTGCTGACCACGGTGTACTCCAGGCTAGATGGCCTGAGAGCTTCTGGGGTTTCCTGTCTGTTTCCCATCATGCCATAGGAGAGTTGGAATTATAGACCACCTCTGGCTTTACATGGGTTCTGGGGCCCAGAACTCGGGTCCCCATGCTTGCATAGCGAAGACTTTACCTGCTGAGCCCTATCCCTAGCCCCCATAAAGAAGGTTTTTAAATGAGTAGGTCATCCAAGCATGCCTGACGTCATCACTAGAGTCCTGGGAGGAAGGCACTGACGAAGAATAGCAAATCCTGGCAAGGCTGACTTCTAGGGGAGTGTGACTGGTTGACACTTACCTCTTCTAAGTCCCGGTGGTGGCCAGTGTCTCAATCTGAACGGATAGCTGTATTAGTTCAGCTACAGGATGGTTCAGTGTTCTGTGGTCAGTGTTCCAGAACAGACAGGGCGGCTCTGACGACTCAGTGTGGAGCCTCTCCAGCTCCAGTCCTTGCTCTTCCCCAGCTGCTACAGAGGGGAAATCCAGACAACAGCTCTGTTGTGAAGGATGTGGCCAGAGCCATGTTCTTCTCTCCTTCGTACACTGCCAGTCACCTGACTTACTGGTGCACTGCGCTGCAACTGTTACTTCTTTCATTGCCGTGACCTGAAAAAAAGCAACTTAAGGAATGAAGATGACAGTTTGGCTCACAGTTTGTGGGGATACCATCCACCATGGTGATGAACATGCGGTAACAGGGGCATGAGGTGGCTAGTCTCATTGAATCCATAGTCAGAGGCCAAAAAGATGAATGCTGGTGCTCAGTATACTTACTTATCCCCCCCCCCTTTATTCAATCTGGGACCCCAGTCCATAGGATGGTGCTTTACACATTCAGAGTGGATCTTCTCTCCTTATTAAATTTCCCCGAAATCACCCTCACACATAAGGTGTGTCTCCTACGTGATTCCAAATCCAGTCAAGATAATACAGTAGATTAACTATCACATACACCTAGCTGCAAGGGAGGCTAGTACATGTGATCTCTGGCTAGGCATCCATGTGTTCCAGTGACATGTGAAGACTCCTCATATAAGAAAACAAAAAATAGACATTTCAGAACAATTAGTGACTCTAATGGGTGTTCAATTATTTAAATCACATGCCTACATCTATCACACACCTACATATATCTTTATATATTCTATGCTTTCATTACATATTAATATAAATAAGAAGAAAATGATTAAGGGAAGTAGCATGCATTGATAGTTCTTTTAAGAATTGTGGAAGGGAGGCCTCTTGAGGAATGGAATGTTGTAAGGGTACTTTCCATTTTCTCTTTGATTTTTTTTTTTTGAAACAAAGTTTCAAGTAACCCCAAGCTGGCCTTGAATTCACTATGACCTTTAACTCCTGATCCTCTTGGCATTACCACCCAAGTTCTGGGATTGCAGTCATGTTCCACTATGTAGTTTATTTCCTACTGGCTTAAATTAGGCTATGTCCATATGGGGAAAGAGCAATAGAAAACATGAGAGAGAAAGCAAGCCAGCCTCTAGTCCTGGGAGATACAAGGTGGGGGAAGTGCTGGTAGAGGGGAGGATTCTGGAAAAAGAGATGAAGGATAGTGTGTTCTCTGAGCAATGAGAACTGTGGACCCTTAGAACTGTAAGGGTTATTAGCCCCTGGCATCTCTGCATTACTGTGTCACCTCAGTGCCTACGCTGCCAGCTCCTATAGGTAGGAGCACCATTAGGTGGGTAGGAGCATCATCGGATGGGTTGGAGCACCATTGGATGGGTAGGAGCACCATCATGGGTAGGAGCACCATCATGGGTAGGAGCACCATCGGATGGGTAGGAGCACCATCGAATGGGTAGGAGCACCATCGGATGGGTAGGAGCACTACCGGATGGGTAGGAGCACCATTGGATGGGTAGGAGCATCATCGGCTGGGTAGGAGCACCATCGGATGGGTAGGAGCACTATCGGATGGGTAGGAGCTCCATCATGGGTAGGAGCACCATCAGATGAGTTTCTGTTGTATGTTTCCATCCTCTACTCGATCCATATGGCACATGGTCCTAAAAGAAGGTAATGCCATTCTTATACTCAAAACTGTTTACATCCAACTTTTTTACACACCTTTTCTTCCCTTTCTTTTATTTCTATTTTAGATTTAAAGGTACAGTCGAGGAACTCAGCAACCAGATTTTATCTGCCCGGAGTTGGCTGCAACAAGAACAAGAACGGATAGAGAAAGAACTTTTACAGAAAATTGAACATCTTTCCTTGATTGTTAAGGAAAACAGTGTAGGTATTAATATTTTTGAATAATAGATACTGAGAGGGGGCCTGCAGTGTCTCAATAGTACCTAAGGACTCAGGACGCGTTCATTTGGCACCACCAGAAGCTGTTCAGGCATTCCTTCCTGCCTTTGAGTAATTTCCATGTTCCTCCCCCCCTTTCCCTTCTTCCTCTCCCATTCCTGTTCTGTTTCTCTTCCTTCCTTCGTTCTGGGGATCAAACCTCGATTCTCATACCTGCTATCTTAGCTCCTTTTCCTGTTGCTATGCGAAAATACTCTGCAAAGCATCTTAAGGGAGAAGAAATTTATTCTGGTCCACAGGTCAAGGGTCTACTTTGGGATGGTGAGGGAGTAAACATGGCAGGGACACAGCACAGCTGGTCAGCTGGTCATGTTGCCTCCACCACAGGAAGCAGAGATGGGTGACTAAATGTCACTGCTCAGCTCTCTTCCCCAGTTTGGCATCCCAGCCAGGGGATGGTGCCACCCACAAGGGTTGGTTCTTCCCAACTCAAGCAAATCAAAACAACCCCCCACAGGCACACACAGAGGCCTGACTACCAGTTAATTCTAGATTCTGTTAAATTGACAAATTAGTACTGGCCATCATATCTGCTGATCTTGAACTTTACCACCCAGCCAAAGCCCCAAGCCAAGCACCCGCCATTCCCTCTTCTTCATAGTCTTCATAAAGACAGGGAGTGCTTTGATTGATGTTGGTTAGCAAAGGGCAAACTGAACACTTCAGTTTATGGCTTTTAAGTCAAGACTTTAATGCGCCCAATTGTCTAGCACCCATTTCTAAATAAAGCCATCAGTCACCTACTTGAACCTGTTTTTCTGGTTTTTGTTTGTTGTTTATGTTGTGACCTACTTTTTGCTTTCACTAGTGTTGAGTGGCTCTCTGTCCCTCCAGGTCCCTCCAAGGCACAGTAATGACAGTGTGCCTTTCCTCTCCCAGGGCAACGGATCAGAATTCACCATTTTCTTTCCATCTACTTCTGCCTCCATCCCCCTCTCTCAAACAGCTAAGGTTTGCAGAACTGCCAAAAAAATATCTTAAAAAAGTCGTGCATTTAAAACTAGCAGGTTTGGGAACTGGTGCTAGGCAGGCAAATTGTGCTGGGTTCTCTTTTCTCTCCCAGCTTCCTCCCATGGGGTTTTGACTGAGCAGAAGTGGCTGGTGCGGTTTGGTTTGCCTGTCTGACTGCTTGTTCCAGGTGCAGAGCCATTCACTGAGCTGTAGGTTTTCCATCAGAGCCATGACAGGAGTGTCATCATGTCACCCCTGACGAGAGCTTGGTGTCCCTAAAGCCTCTGGATACAGAATTTCACAAAACGTAGTATAGGGGACTGCAAAGACAAGGAAGTATTCAGTATTCCAAATCTTTTCCCTGACGCTTCCCCTGCTTTTCTCAGGTCTACTCATTGTTGTGCCTTGATGCATCCTGATGCATTTGTGGAGTTCTGAGTCTGTGGTTTACTGATTGATTTTCGCATTGGCTTAGGCTAACAGTAAACTCTGTGATAGTGGTGAATTCATTAAGATGGAAACCTACTTCTCGCTCATGTAAAACAAATCCAGGTGTGTCTTTTCCAGGACAAACATGAGGTGTGGGCTTGTCAGTCTTCAGTGATCCAGAATTCTTTTAGGTTTTGCTTTCTGCCAGGCTCAGAGAGTAGCGCTTGTCCCCACGATTCCGGGTGGTTGGAAGAGTTCCAGCCACTGACTGGATGGAAAAGGGAGGAATTAAGGATCTCCAGCAAGTGTACTCTAACGTTTTTTGGAGGCAGTTACATGCATTTGTTCTTATACCTCATTAGCTAGATCTCACATGGCCGCACCAAACTCAGGACACAGAAGAAAATGTAGATTTTTACTCTGGGTGGCCTTTGAGACTGGATACAGGATGGACAATGAGACACCATTGTGGTTCTGGTCCCTGCAGATGGTTAAGTGCTATGGCCCATGTGAGACAAGACATATGCTCTACTTTTGCAATAACCAAGTATAATTCTTGTCGTGACCTTAGGGAGCCAATGAAAGAGACATGGAGAAAAAGCTCAGCCAGATGTCAGCCAGGCTTGACAAAATCGAAGAGAGCCAGAAGAAGAACGTGGAAGGACAGAGAACGAAGCCGGAGGAGGAGAAGGTGCATGGGCGGATCAGCAAACTGGAGTTACAGATGAATGAGGACATGAAGGAAATGAAAGCGGAGGTTAACGCTGGTAGGCCAAAACCCCACACAGCTCGCGTGGCCTCTTTAGCTAAAAGGCTATTCGCTGAGATTTCCCGTGAAACAGACTGAGCTTGATAGAAAAAAAAAAAAACAAAACAGTGAAACGTCCTTACTTTCTATTTTAAGTATCTATGCAGTATTGAATGAAGATGCTAGCTAACTTATTTACTTATTATAGTACTGAGAATTGAACTTAGCATCTCACAGTCGCTAGGCAAGTCCTCTCCCAGACTCAAAGTGCTAGTTCAGTTGCAGGTCTATGAAGCCTCTCCACAAGACACAGGCAAACAGAATGCTTAACCTGCTTATGATGGGCATTTTCTTTAGTGCCCCCCCCACTGATTTCTTTCCGTTCATAGCCAAGATCAATGCACCCTTGAGGCACTATTGAGGGCTACTTCTGCACTGCTGCCGCCATATGAACATGGAGGTGGTTCTCTCCTACCTTTTAAGTCTCTTTTCCTAATCAAAATTTCTTTTAAAAGACCTGTTTTCTTCTCTCTCTCTCTCTCTCTCTCTCTCTCTCTCTCTCTCTCTCTCTGTGTGTGTGTGTGTGTGTGTGTGTGTGTACCCACGGAGTCCAGAAGGGATGTGCTAGATCTCTAGAAGCAGGAACAACAGGCACTTGTGAGCCACCTGATATAAGTGTGGGGATCTGAACTCCAGTCCTCTGACAGAGCAGTACAGTGTGCTCGCTCACTGTCCTCGTGAGGGTTACTATTGCTGTGCTGAAACACCATGACCCAAAGCAACTTGGGGAGGAAAGGGTTTATTTGATTTACGCTTCCACATCACTGTTCATCACTGAACAGCAACCCAAGCAGGACAGGAACCTGGAGTCTGAAGCTGATGCAGAGGCCATGGAGGAGTGCTGCTTACTGGCTTGCTCCTCATGGCTTTCTCAACCTGCCCTCTTACAGAACCCAGGACCACCAGCCCAGGGCTGGCACCACCTGTAATGGGTTGGGCCCTCCCTCATCAATCAGGAATTAAGGAAATGCCTACAGCCCAGTGGCATTGAGGGATTCTCTCAGTTGAGGGTCCCCCCTCTCTGATGACTCTATCTCGTGTCAAATTGACATAAAACCAGCCAGCACAAACACTGGTTCATCTCTTCAGCCCTCAAATGTTCTATAAATAAAAAAGTTTATATGTATATTTAAAGTTTATGTTTTAATATATGTAACAAAATGGTTACTGTGTTCATGTAAATCCACCCATCATCTCACATGTGTTTGTGTGTGCTATATATATGTGTGTGTAAATGTATATATGTGTGTGTGTATATTGTGTATATATGTGTGTATGTATATGTGTATGGTGTGTATGTGTGTGTATGGACATTCGTGTGTGTGTATGTATGCCTTGACTCAACTCTTTCAGCAAAAACCCCAGGCAATATATTGAATTTTCTTCACAATATGCATTAGATCTCTAGACTTGTTCATTTTATCTATTCTGCTGTTTTTACCCCAAGACCTGAGTCTTCTTACTCCCCTGTCTGCCACACCATGCCTCTGGTATCTGCCATTTTATTCTGTTTTTATGTATTTAATTTCTTTTCCTTGTGGATGATCATATGAAACCGTGCAACATCTTTCTTTCCGTGTGTGTCTTCCTTCATTTAGCACGGTGTTCTCTAGTCTCCGCCACGGTGTGGCAAACAGCAGGGTCTGCTCCTTTGTAAGACTGGGTAATTTTGATGGCATATACACACACCTCACTGTCTTTGTCTGTTCGCGTCTCTTGACAGACACTTTAGGTTGCCTCTGTATCTCAGTCATGGGGAGTAATATTGCAATACACATCAGAGGGCCAGGGTGGGAGGGATGGCTCAGCAGTTACACAGTGAGACCCCCACCTCAAAAACAGACAAATAAAAATGGTGGGCTGGGTGTGGTGGCATACGCCTATAACCCTAGCACAGAGGCAGAAAGAGGCAGGAGGATCTCTGTGAGTTCAAGGCCAGCCTGGTGTATAAAGAGAGTTCCAGGACAGCCAGGGAAGTCTTGAAAGCACCAAAAAAGGAGCTGGGGAGGTGGAACATCAGTGTGAGGAACTCTTTATTAGGTGGTAGCTTTTCTTATCCATGTGTGTCTAGTAGTGGCGTTGTTGGTCATAGGATAGCTCTGCTTTTGATGTCTTTTAGGGGTCTCTACTGTTTTCCACTCAAGCTATGACTTTTTTTTTAAATGTATGTATGTATGTATGTATGTATGTAGCCTTGACTGGCCTCGAACTCACTTTGTAGACCAGGCTGGCCGAGAATTCTGCCTCCCAGGTGCTGGGATTAAAGGCATAAGCCTGCACTGGGCCTTGGCTACACTGTGTTTAATTCCCACCACCGTCTATGGGATTCTGCTCTCCACATTCTCATAGCCTTCCTGCAAGTGTTAGCTGACACTTCAGTGACCTGTAGCTGCTTTCTGATGAGTGATGCTCAACACCTTTTCTTATATTTCCTTCCTTCCTTCCTTCCTTCCTTCCTTCCTTCCTTCCTTCCTTCCTTCCTTCCTTCCTTCCTTCTTTCCTTCCTTCCTTCCAATTTCTTTCTTTCGATGAGGTCTTTGGTCCAGGTTGGCCTCAAACTCTCTAGGTCGCTGAGGATAACCTTGAACTTAGGATCCTTCTGCTCCCAGCTTCTGAGTGCATGTATCACAAGTATACACTGCCAAGCCCATTTTTATGCGGTGCTTTATCAGGGTGGAGCCCTGGACTCTGTGCACGCTAGGTGAGCACTCTCCCCACTGAACCACATCTCCAGCTCTCTAGGACCACACATGGTCATTAGCTCTTGTGCTCGTTTACTTAGTCTCGTGTGTCTGGGTCAATTCCTCTGTGCTGCTGTTTTGTGTCTACGATGGAGTCTAGAATGCGGGAAGCAGAGGCAGGCGGAGCTCTGTGAGTTCAAGCCCAGCCTGGTCTACAGAGCAAGTTCCAGGACAGTCGAAGCTGTTACATAGAGAAACCCTGTTTCACAAAAGGTGGGGGGGATGGAGTCTAGCTATGAAGAACAGGCTGGCCTCAAATTCAAGCTCATAGTCTTGCCTTAGTTTTCCAAGTACTGAAATGCAGGCATATGCCACCAAGTCTGACTGAGCCCAGCATTTTTCTCAACGAAGTCTGTTTCCTATCGGGGGTCCACATTTAGGGTGACAGGCCCCAAGTAACCTCTTAGAACACAGCCTTTAGATGTCAGATCCTGCAGTGAGGACTGGAGCCTCAGAAATCAGAACCCTTCACTCATAACCCCATGAGATCCTGGAAACCCTGGAGCCTAGGCTCAGGCCCTGCGCTGACCTTTGGGGCCACTGGGCTGGAAGACTTCACTGTAGAGTTCTGTCTGGTCCCATGGAAGCTGGAGGCCTACATGCCCGGGGCTCTCTTGACCCACAGAAACCCCTTGATCTAGTAGTTTTAGACTACAGGGCAGTGTTTTGCAGAAAGTTCTTCAGCTGGGGTTTGATTACTTCCTTATGATGTGACCTGGGACAGAGGTGCTGCAGGACAGATGGAGGCCCTGCCCTGTCCATCTATCTGATCACATGTGATTTCTCGCAGCTTTGATCACGTGGTTAAAGCTGCAGCCGCCCTATTTCTTAACTGTAATAGCCCCCTTTGTCATTAAAAAGCGGTTTCCATGGGGGGTCTCCATCCAGGGTTGACCCCTGGAGTTGCAGCATTTGTAGGAACCCACTGTTCCTGTCTCTGTAGACTCTGGCAGGACCCTGCCTGTAAACTGTTGACTCCCATGACATTTGCCATTTGCCTCTTCCTCAAGGGTTTACAGCCATCTACGAAAGCATAGGATCCCTGAGGCAAGTGCTGGAGGCCAAGATGAAGCTGGACAGGGACCAGCTGCAGAAGCAGATCCAGCAGATGCAGAAGCCAGAAACTTCCATGTGAAGAGGGCTGGGACGAGGACCTGGCAGGAGAAGAGATAGCCTGTGGGGCTAAGAACCAGACGCCTCTGCAGCCGGATCACGGCTGCGTTCTGGATCCCATCCAGGGTGTGCATGTGCCAAGAAACATGTTCTCATGGGTCTAAACGTTTACCTTATTGAAAACACCTTTATTCAAAAGTCTTCAGTACAATTTTTACAACTGTATTTCCCTATCTAAGTGCAGTTGAGCCCTATGCCCTCAGATTTTGAAAGGCTTTTATGAATGAAAAGAATTTATTTTCAATGCCTGATGCTCTAGCCAAGACTACTATTTTGGGAAAAAAAAAACCTGCCATGGTGTTTTTTTTTTTAATTAAGGAATGAATAATGTATTGCTCCTCACCCTACATTAAGAGAATGTCCTGGTAGATTAGAATTCAGCTTGAAGTCCACATCTGGATTGTTTTACTGTTGTCTATGCATTTAAAAAAAAAATGTTGGGTTATTTTCTTGTAAATCACCTGTCTTTTGTAGAGAGAAGAGATTTAACACTGGAGGGGGGGAATCTTGCCATTTATATAATGAAAATAGTTTTTTAAGAATTGATAACTGCCATATAGATTGCAAATTAAGTGGAAACTTACAACATGTATCTAGATCCCTCAAGGCACAAAATTTATATCCACCTAGTACCAGCTTTTAATATTTAAAGCTATTTTGGGACCCATGCACAGCCGGTGTAGCCAATAGCCATATATTTAATAATGGGACGGTGGCTCAGAGCAGTATGCTTATCATACAGTTAACTGTTCATCCATCGCAATGGACGTGAGGATTGTTCGGACTTTACGATTCACCTAAATGTTCCCCAAACAGACACTAAGTGCTAGGGTTTATAGACGTTTGTTGTAACTGTCTATTTGTGCCTTGGTTTTTATCACGCCACTGTACTGTCCCCTGTAAAAACAGAACAGAACATTACCAACAAAACAGAAAGTGTGGTAAACACATCAGGTCGCGATGTGAAACTGGAATCCTATGTATGTCCTTTTTAAGCGTCCTAACGATGTTTTCATTGTCATGACGGGACGCATTCGGCATCATTCACGGGATGGTTGCACACACTTTTGTATGGGCAGAGTCAGACTGAGGCTACATTTAGTGTACCGTGAAGAGATGTGTGTCCCGGCACCTTGGTCGATGTTTTCTTTTCGATCACCGTGTGTGAGTTGTCGAAGACTGGAGCCTGTGCTATTTGCTCGCTTGTGACAGAAGACAGCGTGGTGAAGTGTGAGGGCACCCCAGGAGAGAGAGCAGGAGCACTTAGAAGTTCCGGGAACGCCACCATATCTTCTCCTCTCCTCTCTCATTTGCAAGGACTCAGGAAAATAAAGATCATTTTCTATTTCTAGAATAAATCACAATGAGATTCTAACTGGCTCTTACTGTTGACCCATGTAAGGGACGCTGCTAAAGTACCTGATATTTCACTCTTGGTAGCTTGACAAATTCTGTTTTAATTTGGACTCATGAGAGGTTGTGTGAGGAGTACGAATCCATCACGCATTTCTTCATTTCCCCGGGCATCTTTGCATCTCTAGATAGGAAGGTCTTTCCGCCTGGGAGAAGTCGCTGGTGTTCAGAAAGCCCGTTTTCCCCTTTGTGTGAGGCTAGCCATGTTCCACGGAATGATTAGGCACAAGGCTCAGGACAGGGCCACACCCCCGCAGTGTCTCTGACCTCTGGGGGCTCTGAGGGAGAAGGATGAGCACAGATGACACCTGGGAAGAGGGGCACAGGGGACACCAGCTAACTCCGGCCCAGCAGGTGGTGTATGCAGGTGGAATCACCTAGGTGCTCACTTAGGTCTGCCTAAGTGTGTGCTGCAGACCTGGGACGGGGACTCTCCACCCTGGCCGCGTGGGGTCCCGCGGGGAGTTAGAAGAGTCACCGATGCTGAGCAACCTCCAGACTTAGTCAGAGCATCTGGGAGGCAGTCACCAGCATCAGTGCCCCCCCCCCCCCCCCCCCCCCCCCCCCCCCCCCCCGCTAAGCCCCAGTGTGTAGCTGGGAGGCCAGCCATCCAGTGAAGACAATAGAGTTCTCTTCTAGCCAAAGTTTAAAGGAGAATCAGCTATCCTGTCTTTTCCTTTACCAGAGATTTGCAATAAAAAGAATAAAATTTCCAAATATACGTGGCATGGGACTTTTAAATGGAAAGTTTTTGAGTGTGGGGTGAAAACTTTGGCAGGCCACCTGCCTTAGTAAAGATACCACTTGGCTTTCTTTCTTTTTTTTTAATTTTGAAAAAAAATTATTTAACTCCATATTTCCAAACGGGAATCTTTAAACAGATGGTGGAGGCCTGGCCTACAAGTCAGAATTAAAACCCATCATTCCTCTGGTTATTGCAGGTGAGGGTAGCTTACTGGGACCCGTGAATTTGAACCACTTGGCTCTCTTGAGCAATCTGACGCTGACATCCCAGTAGGCCTTCCAGGGCCATTGCTGATGGCATCACCCATGGGGAACCAGGGTCTCAGGTCCCTGCTGCCTCTGGAATCACACCAGTGAGCAGTTCCTGGCTGTGTGCCATGGACCCATGCTGAGATTTTTACAGAATCTTTCTTTAACCACACGCATTCGTGTGTGCGTGTGTGTGTGTGTGTGTGTGTGTGTGTGTGCGCATGAGCATTGGCTCGAGGATGTCAGAAGAGGGCATGGGGTCATCTGGAGCTGGAGTTCCAGGTAGTTGTGAGCCACCTGCCATGGGTGCTGGGAACTGAACTCATGTCCTCTGGAAGAGCAACAAGTGATCTCAGCTGTACCTTTTCCCCAGCTCCTGTGCTCAGACTCGTGTGTGCTCATTCCTTTTGTTTGACAGTGTCTAGTTCAGTACCATTTGCCCCCCCCCACCCCCCATTTAACGGAGAAAATCGAGTCACATAGAAAGGAAGCAGCGTGCCTCAAATCCTACAGCTCGTTAGTAGGAGACCTGATTCTGGTAGGCACCTGGATTACACATCTTGGTTTTCCCATCTGACAAGCCCTCACCGCAGCCAGACTCTGCCCTGCTATCTCATTACCTTTGTATTTTAAAGCCAGCGAGCTGGAGGGGGTGGCGGGGGAGGTGGGACGAGCTAGGATGCTAGCGTGGACTTTGAAAAGTTTAACAGGTACTTAGGATACTGAAGAAACCTGGGAGCTGGCATGAGCTCTGATATGCTACTAAGCACATTGGGTAGTGAGTGACCACAGGTCCCTATGCCAGAGATAAGGAAAGGACTCCTTTTGGTGGAGAGGAACAGGCTTCACAAGTTCCCGAGGAATTCTGGCTTTTATCTGACTCCCAGAACTCCTCCTACAGTTCAGGTGAGCCCATTTCTGGATATTTGGAATTTGGAATTAGAGTTTCCTTTGAACCTGCCAGGTTTGGGAACTCACACTCAGGTCAGGGGGTTTTGCTGTAAAGCATTTACCAGTCGAGGCATCTCCCCAGTTCTAAATTCACTAACTCCTGTATAGCAATAATTAACCTATTAAAAAGGAAATCAGGCCAGGTGGTGGTGACGCAAGTCTTTAATCCCAGCATTTGGGAGGGAGAGGCAGGAGGGTCTCTGAGTTCAAAGCCAGTCTGGTCTACAAAGCGAGTTTCAGGATAGCCAGGGACACACAGAGAAAGCTTGTCTTGAAAAGCCATCCACAAACCTGAGAATAAATTTAACCAGTATGTTAAAGACCTGTACAGTAAAATTATAGAACACCGAGAAAAGGAAGTAAGACTTCACGTTTGGCAGAATGAAGGTTGTGAAAGAAGCCGCATTACAAGACAACTATTGACCCAGTGCATTCCCATCAGAATTCCCGAGTCATTCTTCACAGAGACAAACAATAATTATAAAATCCTCATGGAAGCAGAAATGACCCTGAACTGCAAAGGCAACCTTGAATGGAAGAACAACCACCATGATGAACATTATGACCGTAAACAATGCAGGGAGGCAAGGGTTTATTTCAGCCGACAGCGCGGGAAACCAAGCAGGAAGGGAAGCAGAGGACACCATGGGCTGCTCACTGGCTTGCTTCCTGTCATTGGCTTATACCACCCAGGGCTGCTGCTGAGGGACAGCACCATCCACAGTGAGCTGGACCCTCCCTCATCGATCATTAATCAAGAAAATGCTCCATAGACTTGCCCGCAGGACAATCTGATGGAGGCAATTCTTCTGTTGAGGTTCTCTCTTCCCATATGACTCTGGCTTGTGTCAAGTTGTCAAAAGCTAACTGCCGGGAAGGAGGTGCTTGCTACTAAATCTGATGACATGGGACCCCCATATTGGAAAGAGTGAACCCGACTCCTATAAATTGCCTCTGACCTCCACATTTGTGCAACTGCAGGGGTGGCCAACAAATGAAAACATTTTTTAAAAGGCCAGGTGTGTGCTTCTGAGCCCAGAACTCAGGAGGCAGAGGAGGGTGGATCTCTGAGTCTGAGACAAGTCTGGTCTCCATAGTAAATTCCAGGCCCAGGTGGAGTTACATGGTGAGACCTTGTCCAAAAATAATAAATAAACAGACACATAATTGACATAGGATATTGCGTCAAGTTAAAAAAGCTACACCACAAAGGAATCAATTACTGGAGTGAGAAGCCTGAAGAATAAGAAAAAAAATTGTCTGTCAACTTTGTTTAAATTAATAATTGGAACTAAAAGTTTAAATGCCAAAAGAACAAATCAATCAAAACTTCAATAGAATTTTCAAAAGAAATCCAATAAAGTCATGAGAAGTGTTCAAAGCCACAATTAGCCACCAGAGAAATGCAAATCAAAAGGACATTGAGGCTCCATATCATCTCAGCGAGAATAGCTGTTCTTAAGAAGACAAACAAAGGGAACAAGACAATGGCTCAGTGGTGAAGAGTACCTAACCATTCTTCCAGAGGACACAAGTTCAATTCCCAGCACCCTTATAAAAACCTCACAACCGTCTACTACTCCAGTTCAGGGGATCCAACACCTCTGCACACACACAACTTAAAAAATAATAAAAACTAGAAATCAAGCAATAGGCCAGGCATGGCATCCTAGGCAGGAGGACAGAAAGTTCAAGTCTAGCTTGTGTTACACAGTGAAATTGTCTCAAAGGTCAAAACAACACAAATGCAGGCGAGAACATGGGTAAAAGAGTGAAGAGATGGCTCACAGTCAAGAGCACTTCATATTTCTGCAGAAGACCCAGATCTGGTTCCCAGCATCCACATGGTGATAACTCTAGTCCCAGAGGATCCAACACCCTCTTCTGGCCTCTGTAGGCACTACACACAGGTGCTGCACAGACAAAGATGCAGGCAAAGTACACATAAAAATAAAGAAATGCTCATAAGTAATTTTTAAAAGAAACACATTCTGTTATAGGAATGTAAACTAGTTCACGTAGACATTGGTGAAATAACTCCCATATGATTTAATCATCCTGCTTCTGGAAGCAGTCAAAGTTCACATGAGACCGGAGTGCCCGCATATCCGTGTTTGTGTTGGTACTGTGTACAACAGTGGAGCCATGGGACCAGCCAAGGCGCCCATCGCTGTATAAACGGATGAAGGGAAGGTGGCATAGTCTTCAACCATAGTGGAGAGTGGAGTTGCACCCTTTGCAGGGAGAGGATCATATTAATCACTGGAAGTCAGACTCCTAAGCGCAAATATCATCTATTTTCTCTTATACATAAAATGTAGAATTTTGTTTCAAAGACATCAAAGTAGAAGGGAAACCACTTGGGGAGAAGATAGGACCAATGGGATGAGTGGGAAAGAAAGGGGGTAATGGGGGATGAATACATTGAGTACGTTCTATATTTGTGTGAAAATTTAATGATACCTACTGGCTTGTACAATTAATGTATAGTAATTTTAAATTATTGAACAGAGTCTGGGGAGGTAGTTCCGTGGTTTCACAGTCAGGAAAAGTCGAGTTTGGATCTCCAGTCCCTATATAAAAAGCAGGCTTTGTGGCATGTGCCTGTAACTCCATCTCTGAGAGGACAGGCAGGCAGGTCACAGGAACTCATAGGCCAGCCCTAGTCTGGCTGAAACTGAGAGACATTGTTCAGGAGAGAATCTGTCACAAAAAGTAAGGTGGAGAGTGACAGTGGAAACCATCCTGAGATCAACCTCTGACCTCCATATGCGTACATACAAGAGTGAGTGCAGCCGCACACACATGTGTAGACGTGCATCACACACACACACACACACACACACACACACACACACACACACTTGAACAAAGTTATCTTAAGTAAAGGCCAGGAACTGAAGAAATGGCATTAAAAGCACTTGCTGCTCTTTTAGAGGACCCAGGTTCAATTCTCAGCATCTCAACGGTGGGTCACAACCAACTGTAATTGTTCCTGTGAATCCAATGGCCATCCAG